GTTATAAAAGAGAGAAGCCTTTTTTTTCTTTTTGAACTTTAAGTAGTTAGATGAACAACCTATATTAACATGTTTAAAGTAGTATAGCAGGTCACACTTAGGTACTATTTGGGTAGTCAGATAATGCTAGACTTAGTTATTAAGAACATCTATGTAATTGATAATATAATTCCAAGAATCTTAATAAAGTACTAACATGGCTGCTTAAGTTTAAAAAAAAAAATTAAATAAATACTCATTCAGAAGAAACAAAAAGTTGGCAAATTTAGCAATTATAAGTACTTTTTATTTTAAATTTATCAAAATTACAATTTTTAAATATTTTTTTGGAATTTAAGACTTTATTATGCATATTTAAAAAATTAAACATTTATTCTAAATTAAAATTCTTTAATGCAATAATTAATGCTCTTATTTTCATTTATCTATCCTAAGCTGTTCTTTGAAGTTCACATATTTGACATCAAGCTGCCAATGTATTATATCAGTAACAATATAAATATTTTCTTTTAAAATCAAATTCATCAAATACTAACAAATACTTATACTACTTTTTTACATCAAATCAACTAACTTATTTATTTTATTTTTTTAATTCACTTAATTTAGCTTATAATTTATAAAAAATATTTCAATTTATATACAATAATATAGAATTTAAGTTTATAATATACTTTTTTTATTTAACTTCTAAGAAAGTACTAAAAAAAATAGTTCTAAATATTCTTGATGATTTTTGTATTTAGTAAGTTTTATTTAAATACTTTAATATAATTATATTAATTGGTTAAGTTTTTATTTATTTTAATAGAATTATATTAATTTTAATGTTTATTTAATTAATTTGGAATTATATAAATTAAGAACTTCATGTTGCTTTTTTTTGGATTTTTTATTTTATTTTTTTTATTTATTCATTTTTTTTATTAATGTCAAAAAAATAAAAATAAAAATATTATTCTAGAATATACAAAATGAATAAGATATTTCTAAAAGTTTGAATATATTAGATACTTTAGATAGGTGTAGTCTTAAGGATATCATTATAATACAAGTTAAAATTATATATGCAAAAAGTTTAAATAAACAAGTTCTATAGTTAGCTTGCAGATATAGTATTTAGTATAAAACCTGCATAATAATATATAGATAAACTACTTAAATTAGACACCAAAAATGTATATATAACTAGTTATAATTTTCTATATATAAATATGCTTAAAAGCATCTGTGTCCAATAAGAACTTAAAAATTATTTTCTGAAAACAGTAGCTTTAATTTTTTTTTAAAAAAATACAAATAATTTACTTCATTAAATAAACTTATTATAATATTTGAATTTTTTAAGAATTATATTAAAAATATCTTTTTTATTAAAAATTAGTTTTTTTATTTTTAATATTTAATTTTTAAGATTAAATAGTATCCAAAAATTCTATTAGCAGTAACTTATATGATTTAAAATTCTTACTAGCAGTGATCTATTATTTAAAATTCTATTAATATATATATATAGCTAAATTTCTAAAATGAATATCAGTAATTATATAACTAGTTATATATAATAAGTTCAAATAGGTTTTCTAATTAACTGCTTTTAATATAAATTTTTTGAATTAGTATTAATAAAAATCTTTAAAATTTCATTTTCAAATTATTAAAATAACTTTTTTTTAAAATAATTTCTAAAAAATGATGTATATATATTTTTTAAGAAAAAATATTTTTATTTTATCTATTAGTTCTATTACTAATTAATTTTTATTACTTTATCTATTTTTATTATCTTATTTATTCATATTGTTTTATTATTTATAATAGTTTAATTATAATTATTCTGTTTATTATCATCTGGCTTATTATAATCTGATATAAAAAATAATATTATTATTATTTGATTTATTTAAAAACATATCTTTTTTAATTAGTAACTTATTAAAACATTTTTTAATAATAGCTCTAAGATAGCTTGACATTTTTTTATATTCACTATTATAAGTCTAAAGATCTGATCAAAAGTGTTAATTTCTTTTCAAGTTTCAGATACCTATTTACAAACTTGCACATATAGTGCTTTTTCCTAATTTTCTTTTTTAATATATTTTTTTTTATCTTTATCTATTTATTCTTTCTATTTTTACTTTATTTTATCTTTAAAAACTTGTTTACTGAAAAGTTTAAAGACTGCAAAACACTAGTTATTTCACTAGGTATTTTTATAACCTCCAAGTCTTTTTTTGTATTTAATATCTTAAGAACATAATTATAAGTATAACTACAATGTTCATCTATAAAAATTCTATCTTTGTTTTTAAAAAATCATTTAGTCTTACTTAAATAATATAGGAGATATAAGTAAAGACTAATAATTTACTAGTTATATTTGCTAAAAATGCTGTCATTATTACAATATTTTGAGAAAATCTTTCTTAAAAGATTTTTTAATTTAAAAATTATTGTTGATAAAAACTTTTTTTTAGTAGCAATATAGTTCAAAATGATTATAATATGTAATTTATTGTTTATTATAGTTTTTATTAATATTTTATAAGTCTTTTCAAAATTAACTATTGAGTTTCTTAATATATCAAACAATATCAGAATTTTATCAAATAATAAAATATATTTTTTCTATCTTATATATTTATTTATATGCAGTTTTGAGAAAATTTTTAATTTTTAAAGAAAAATTTTTTGTACTGATTATATCCTAATATATTGTATTATATTATGCTATTGCTTAAAATATTTGACCCAACTGCATAAAAACTTTATATCTTTAATGTTTAGAATTTTATCTAAATTCTTGGTTTTTTTATAATTAATGTTTCAATCATACTTTTTTCCTTTTTTTTTTAATAAAATTAATAACATTTCTTCTAATAAGAGGTATGTTATTTTTCTGTTATGATTTTTAAGAACTTGTACTTGAGTAATATTTAAATATTTATTATTTTTAATATTTTCAAGTTTTTTTTTTTGCTTATATTATTCTTAAACATGTTTGTAATCAATTCTATAATATAAAAAAAACAGTAAATAGAAATAATTTCTGTATAGAAAATTACTTCAAGCTTAAACTCAACAGTATAATATTTTTTTGTATTTATATTTATTTACAAATGAAGTAAAACAACCTATATATAAAACAAATTAGATACTATATTTTAGATATTAAGAATATTAATAATGCAAAGAGAAAAACAATGTTTGTACATATATATAGCATCTATAATTTTGCATTATTTGGTTTAATTTTAATAATTTAGTTAGTAATTCTTTATATCTAATTGCTTTTATTTATTTAAATAACTGAGTTAATAATTTTTCATATCTACTTAGTTTTTTTTAATTGTATAAAAATAATCTTATAAAAAGTTATAAATTTTAATATAATATCTTATCTGATGCAATAAGTTGATATAATAATATATAGACTTAAGGTCTTATTTGGTTTCATAATTTTAATATAACAATGCATAAACTTTATATCTTATTTGGTGTTATAGTTTTGTTATGCATAAACTTTTAACTTAATTTGCTATTGTTTTTTTAAAAAAATTAAAAAAAAACAGTCTTATAAAGAGTTAAACTTGACTGTAATATTATATGATCATAAGAATTTTTTTTTAAAAAAAGGTACCAATTTTAAAAGGCTTACATATTTGCACAAAGACATACTATTTATATACTGTTGCTGCATATTAATGCTAAATTTGAAAGCCCAAAGTCTAATAAGATAATAGTTTATTTTTACAATATGTACAGTAGCAGTACTTGCATGGATTTAATATTATTTTATTAATTTTTACGAGTTTGTTTTAGGGTTATATATTAAGCATCATTATAATACAAAAGATATTAAGATACTATTTCTATTCTAATTATTATTCGAATTATTCACAAAAACATGAGGAAAATATTGTATCATTTTTATATATTTGATATTATTGGTTCGAAACTCTTTCTGTTAGTTACCGACTCTTTCTATTAGTTAGTAGTTAATCTTGACAGTTTGTAACAAACGGCACATCAAATTTCAAAATCCTTAGCCAATATGGCTTACCATTTTCATTTTTACTGAAATATATGCTTGGTTTGTCGCGAATACTTTATCGTAAGGAGGTAATAATCATTATGTCTGCAGAATGATTAAAATAAATAGTATATCTTAAATAATAGTTGTGACAGCTGAAGCTGGAAACGGAAGTCAGGACCTCAATTTAAAAATATAACCTTACCAAAACTCACCTGTACTCTTATTATTAAAAAGAAAAAAAAAATGTATCCAAAAAACTGAAAATTTCATATTAAAAAAAGATTAAAATTTTAGCCTCAACCGAGCTTTGTTTATTCCGGTAAAAAATTCACAAAAAAAGGAAAAAATAACAAATATACTAAATATTCGGGAAAAAACACAAATTTAGTTTGTGAAAACATAGTTGTCTGAAGCGTAGTGGAGGAACCTAGATTTTTCTGTAAAGGGTGATATGCAAGATTTGTTTGGCCAGAAACATCTCTTGAAGACCGTCCAATTAAATCGTAACGTATATGGTATCGCTTCTTCGTGTATTTTTTACGCTTACTGCTTATTTACTATATTCAGGGTATAACGTTTCGTCACATATAAATAATGTAACAGTAGCTACATATATAAAAATTTTATTTTTAGTGTAACTGTAACGAATTTGCAAATCATACCTGAAACAGTCATGAAATAAGACGGATCTAACCCAATATAACGATAATGGTGTGACATAAATAATTAACGTAGTACATACAAATATGTTTATTATAAACTGCTAACAGTATAAAAGACATTCTAACCGTTGTCTGTACAACAAAATTACTTTAACATGTCTGCTGTTCTAAACTCTCTAAACACTATAAACGTTAAAAACCATAAATGGATTCTTTACATTTCATCAATTATACTCTTTTCGCTTTTTTCCTTCACTCTTTTCCAATTAACCTCAGATGACACTATTAAACCGAGCCACATGGTTCCATTTGCGGATGAACTTAGTATTAAACCTACCACCCTTGAAGAATGGAAACGATTGCATTATTTAGTAAGCTATCTAAATAATGAACAACAAGTATTGATTTATGTAGCACAAGGAGACAATTATAAAAGTGATGACTCAGTAAAACTTAAATATAAATTTGATAAAACCTTATCAACCTGTGAAGTACCATGTATCTGGAATGAAACGCGCATAGAAGATTTAACATCTGCAGAGCTTAATGCAGCCGATGCCATCTTTTATGTTAACCAACCAACCCCATTAAAATCAAAAGCATTTAAAGGACAAAAGCTCATACAATATACTTTAATGCCTGCAACGTATTATCCACAGTATCATGATAAGAATAACAAATTCAATATTCATGTGACATTTGATGAAGATTCAGAAGTACCTACAAGTTATATCAGAAATCCAGAGAAATGGCGAGTAAAAGAACCTTACAAAATAGAAAAACACCCTTCTAACGTAGCATCAATTTCCTTTATTGCATCCCATTCGACGAAATTCCGAGAAACCTGGATTCCAACCCTTAAAGAACATATCCCTATTGCCTCTTTTGGTAGTGTTCACTGGAACACTAATTGGGATATTCACCCAGAATGCACAAATTTAGAACCCTATGAATTAAAAAATTGTATTATTTCCAAGTATCCCTTTCATTTATATATTGAAACTTCCCAAGAAAAAGATTTTACTACTGAAAAACTTTGGGATGTATTTAAATCTGGATCCGTACCTATCATATGGGGTGATCCTAATATTCGTTCATATTTACCAGATCCTAAATCTGCCATTTTTATTGAAGATTTTCCGGATGCTAAGGCCCTTGCGGACCATTTAAAGTATTTAATAGAAAATAAATCGGCATATTTAGAATATCATAAATGGAGAACCATGAAAGCATGGTCAGAAGGATTTGATAGAAAAGCATATATGAGCATAGAAAATATGGAATGTAATGTTTGTAAAGAGGTTGCTAGATTAAGAATTTTAGAAGGAAGAAGCGAAGTTATACAATTTTAAGTTTTTTTTTTAAGTAAGTGACGTGGTTCATTTTGTCAGGTAATGAATTTTAGTATTATTTAGTATACTGAATCATTATGAAAGGCTATCCTTTCGTCGAAATTCAGTATTATAATATTATCTAATGAGAAAAGTTTTATATGATGACTTAAAAAGATCAGTTCTTTGCAAAGGATATATAGAATTTAGAATTTATATTAAATCGATCTTTTATATCGTTGTTTGGTTATTAAAATAATTATTTATAAATTTTTTTTATTGAGTTTTATTTATTTTATTTTATTTTTTTTTGAGTGGCAGTTTTTACCCGAGATTATAAGTAACATAGACCTTTCGCTAACGAAACTAAATTCGATCCCATTTTTCTTACCAAGAATTACTAAATTTTTGGTTCATTTTATCAATTTTATTATTATTTTTTCAGTTAAATGCTATAAAAGTATTAATAAAAAAACAAAATTTAAGAATTTATCAATACGTATTCTATAAAATGAAATTATGATGAGACCAATCCCTAACATTAACAAATAGCATGATAATAATTACAAAATAATGCATAAAATAAACCCAGCTATCTTATTTTATTTCTTTTTCTATTTATTTACTGCAAGATTATTTTCGTTTGTAAAGTTGCTTTTTACGTCTTCATTGGCAACATTTTTTTATTAAAATAGCGATCACTAATGATATTGCAAAAAGACCTGCAAGAGTTAAGCCGACAATCAATCCGGTATTTGGTGCTGACGTTGATGGAATTGTAGGGCAACTAGAATTATCTGGTGAAAAAATGTTTACCCATGCCAAGCAATTGACATCCAATAAATATATTTTTGGGCTAGTCTCATACGATGTTGTTGCATTATTGGTAATGTTGCCTACGTAAACATATTTTAAAAAGATTTCCTTAATTCTGTTTATAAATAAATAAAAAAGTAATGTTAAAGACAATTACCAAAGCCAATTATCATATAATGCCTATATAGTGTGGAGGTATGAAATGATAATGGAGGCGGTTTGTCTCCAGAAGTAATTAGTTCGGAATATTGATAAGGTTCTGTTGTAATGTTTAACAACAAGTAATTAGGAATAGGAATAGTTTGATTTAATTGATAACCTAAGAAATAATAATAATTAATTGAATTTATTTGTAAAATTATAAATAGGTAACTTAACAAATTTCATACTTGATGTTCCCCCTATTATAATAATTGTTTTATTATCTGGAGTTAATGTTGCCGTATGAGCAACCCTAGGCTGGATTAAAAACGGCGATGTTGTATTCTGGAAATAGAATATAAAAATATATAGATATTATTAAAATTTAAAACTGTATGGTAACGATTATTTTAAATAATAATAATAATGATAATGCACCTTCACAGACCAACTCAAAGAAATTGTATCAAATACGGGAATCTGTAATAAGAGTATCAAATCTATTTGCACTTATGCCATAAATAAAATATATATAAATTAATGAACGACAACTTACCTCTGTCATAGGCAGCAAATTTGTATCCATTCCGAGTGCTGGTTGGGTGACACCACCAATATAAAGAATCTTTCCATCCGGAAGTAATATTGGAGCAGCATGACTTCGAACTGAAGGTGTATTAGTGGCAGTTATTTGTTTCCATATTAACAAGTTTGTGTCAAAAGTATACATGTCATTATATAAAATAAGTGGGTATGATGCCATATCAAATTCAATCCTTCCGCCAAATATATAAATAATTCCATTCTTATCAATTACAGTTGAAGATGATCTACGTCTAGTCGGTTGAGTTCCTACAACACCTTGTCCAAACGGTCTCCAATTTCGTGCTGTATGTCTATAAATAAAAACCATTTGATCTGTCGAGTTGTAAGTCTTAAATATTTCATTTATCATTAATGTTTGATTGGAAGTTATCGTTATATTTTGATCATCTTTATTAAGAAGGGCAAGGTCTTGCTGCGTCCCTCCAATTAGATACGCATCTTCCTTGCTTGCACCACCAAGTACTACTGTTCCTAATTCGTGTATAAATGATGTGAGTATATACAGTATGTTAAATACCATTTTAATTAATTATTACCTTTTTCATTTCCATATTTCATTCGTGCACCAGCATCGGAAAGATCCACATATGGAGGATTATTCGTAGAGAACGTGGATGAAAGATCTAAGAAGAAGACTTCATCCGATAAATTATATCCTCTAATCTGGCTTTTAATAGGATTTGAGGATGGAATTATACGAGAACCTCCCATAAAATATAATTGAGTCCCTATTAATACAGCTTCTTGGCCAGCTCGGCCTTCTGGTATAAAATTACCAGCACCGATAACATTATATGGGAAAACTGTTACGAACAAAATAAATTCGATTAAAAGATTTAGTTTCGAATTCCAAAGTGAATACATTACTAATTTAAATTAAATACCGATAAAGTTCAAACACCAACGCTTATATAACAATTATTTGATCACTTGTAAATGTGATTCATGAAAAAAAAAACGTAGAAAATTTCGGATAATACTAAATTTATCGCAGCATCTTGAAAAGTTGGATATCGGAATAAAGTAAGTTTATGCGTAAATTATGTATATCGATATGATAAAATGTTATCACCTTTATTATTATTCCAAATATATCTTTTAATTATCTTACCTTACATGAACAGTGTTTCTGTACATATTCCTAATTTATATGAATAATTAACTTTTACTGTAAATGATAAATTATTGCTAACGAATTTAACTCATAGACTGCAAATTACCATATAGGTGTTTAGTTTCTAAGTAAAAATGTATTAAACATTGTTTATAAATTTTTAAACTAAGTTTCCCATTTATTTTCTATGTATCTTAGTATATCGATATGTTTATATGCTGCAATTTTTCATTCTATGAATTAATTTGTGATTAAAATAATGTATCATTATTCGATTTTAACAAGAATTTAAATATAATGGTTCATTAATTGATATTGAATAAACCGTATTTTTAGTAAATACCGTAAAAATACGTATAATAGACCACTGGATCATTATTAATCAAATTTGTTTACTATTAAATAGTTGGACTGCTATTATAAATGCAAAATGTGATGTATTTTAAAGTTTTTCTTTACGATATATTCCCTCAGCCGTAAACTATATTTGTGGTCTATTAAAGATTTTACAATTGATAGAATGTATTAGACCTGGGTCTTTTATATGCACTTTTACGGTTATTTGATTTTTTTTTTTTTGTTATAATTTTATTATATTTTACCAAAATGGGTACGTAATAATAAGATGTTCTTAAAAAAGCAATAAGGCTAATTAGGACCTAGTAAAGGGAATTTTCAGTAAACGTAATCCATATAATGTTATATTATAAGCTAGCCAATACTTTTTATTCCTGTACCCACGCGAGCAGATAAGTAATATTAGTATATTATATGACGTGCCTGAAGTTGCACTTGAATGAAATTAGTCCCTGATATTAGATAACCTTGCATTAACTAACAATTTTAGATAATTTGTATGACTTTGGGTATTACAGTATTATGCATGATAATTGTTTTATAAGCATAAATGGGTACAATATTTATGAATACGGTGCGAATCATCTAATCGCATCAAAAATGTATTAAATGTTGCGCCACTAAGCAAATCATTAATTAAGGAAA